CCCGGCACAGCCTCCCTCTGAAGAGGGAAGGGTTTAAGACCTGGCCCCATAGAAGCCGAGCGGGCTGGTGCAGGCAGCGCAAGACCAGGAGATGCAAAGGCACCTCACCTTACCAAGAGGCCCCTCGCCTCCCAGGCGAGCCACGGAGAACCCCAGAAAAGGAACGATGAGGGAAAGGACGGCATGCAACGCTTCAACCCTGGGCACCCAGCGTAATGAGGGACCACGCACAGCATGCCCGGCTGGGCAGAGGCAGAGTCCTCCCCCAGGAGGTCCAGATGGGGGGTGGTCTTGTCTTGGCTGAAGAAGGGAGTTGCCATCCCATACAGGTTTGGGAGGAGGAGAGCACATCGCCTCGCCAAGAAGCACACAGTGCTGCAGGGTCACAGCCGGACAGCAGCACTGGCCTGTCCTGCTGCTGCCTCGAGCCTAATGCTCTCTCCAAAGCTCGGCTCTCCTTTACAAACCATGATGCTGGAGCATCCAGAAGGTTCTGCAGGGCTCAGGGCCCACCACAGCCAGCGCTAGTGAAGAGCCACTGCCCTGAAGAGCTGTACAAGACAAGACTGGGACCTGAAACCCATGCAAAAGGCAAGGAGAATTGAAAGCACCAGGAGGGCAGAGACAACACATCAGAGGAGAGACGTCTCCTTCCATTGCAGCATGCTTGCTCCCCTGGTCAAGACACCCTCCAGGCTTGTCCACGTGAGGAGACACCTCCACACCACCATAACCGCTGCCCGACAGCCGCTCACCAAACGTTCCAGGGGAAAACCTCAATGTCCTTACGGCCACCGGCAACCAGCACAACATGGAGAGGAGCATCTCCCCAGGGCCGCCCTTTGGAAAGACGGGCAATGAGAGGGACAAAGGGCAGCAGGCATGACCTGGAGGCCACCCAGCACTGGCAGTGGGTCTGGAGGAGGACAGCGGCGGAGGTCGGGGTTTTAGAGCTCAGCCCAGGCCAGGGACGCCAGGCGGGGAGGGAGGAAGCACAGCCGGAGAGGGAAGGCAGCTGCGGACATGCCAAGGCTGCTTTTGGATTTAACACGTGCTGGCAAGGGTCTGGCCAGGGCTCGGACGGTGCTGGGGTGGGTCACCGGCTCCCTGCGGGACCAAAAACACAGGCTTGGGGTCACAAAGAGACCCGGTTCCACCGCAGGGGACACCCCCAAAGCCCATTGCTGGGAAGAGGGGCTCTGCACTGCCCCGCAGCCGGTCCGTCGCGGGGCTCTCCCACCCCAGCCCTCCATCTCCCTCTCCCCGGGCTCTCAAGCCCCCATCGTGGGTCCCAAGAGGTCCCCCGCAGACCACTCCCCCGGCTCCGGGCAGCAGAAGTGCTCAGCCAGGCTTTGTACTCTTATCTGTACAGGGCTGCGATTAATTCGCAGCGGCTGGCAGCAGCTACAAGAGGAGGGCGCTTCTGCCCGCCCGCCACACTTCAAAGGCAGGGACTTATCTGCCTGAAACACGCTCCACGCTCCGCAGCCTGTTCACGGGGACCCTTCCCAGTTCCACGGGGCTCGCACGGCGCTGACGGGCAACCAGAAAGAAGGGCTTTTTTAGAGGACCGCGTTTCCCCCAGCCCCTGGGACGTCCATCAGGGATGGAGACTGAGCAGGGGGGATGAGACGGGGCTGCGAGGAGAGGATGCTGGGTGAGGTGCCTGTCCCACCTTTGCCCACATCCTGGTCTCCTCCTGCCCCATCCTCTTGCTGGTGAGCATCTCCACGGCATGACCCT